AATTCATCCACACAACCTTCCCCACTTTTTTTTCTAAAACGAAACTAAAAAACGATAGTTCAACATTTAACGAATCACATTTCACGAATCACATTTCACAGTGATATTATTCTTGATACACTGTATATAAGTAAAATCGAGTTTATATCTATATTGCTAAAAGAAGAAGGGCGGGGAAGGGGGAGGGGGTAAGTGGAAGGATAAATCCAACAACGTGCTTCGCCCAGTTCGCTCACTTTTACTTTCCATGGAATTCACCTCTCATAGCCGGACTCTCGTTCTCTTTAATAGGAAATTAATCAAACGAATTGTGTTACTAATTAAATTCTATGCTATTTTGTTTTTTATTTCTTTATATATATATATATATATATATATATATATATATACATACAATTTTTTATATCACCAATAGATTGATGATTAAAGATAAAAAATGTTTAATTGTAAGAAATAACAAAGTTACAGAGAGATATCTTATATAGATACACACATGTGATAATTATATAAGTATTTTATAATAATAGTTATTCATATAAATATAATTATCTTGATAAATATTTAAATATTATTTTTTTTTTTATAGAATTTAAAAATATTTTAAATATTTGAAATATTCTTTGATACATATAAAAGCATATTTATATTAATTTTCTAACATATATACATATATACATATGTAATTTTAATATTTTTTTATTATGTTGAATTATATTTTTATTATATTTATATTTTTGTATTTTTATTATATTATATTTTGGTATTTTTATTATATTAATATTGTTGTATTTAATTAAATTATATTTTTATTATATTACATATTTTTTAATTATATTATATTTTAATTATATTAAAAATAAATTTGTATTATATTATATATATTTTTATTATATTATATTTTAATTATATTATATATTTTTTTAGTATATTATATTTTTATTTTATTAATATTTTTGTATTTTTATTATACTATATTTTAATTATAATTATATTATATTTTAATTATATTATATATATTTTTATTGTACATAAAATATCCACGTAATTATACATTTCCTTAACATATTTTTCTATACAAATATTTCATTTCAATCAAATGTAAGAAATAAATGTAGAAATAAATAAATAAATGAAACAAACACATACGATTTTAATTAGGCATAATGATAGCTGACACAAATCCTACAGATATAATAAAAAAAAAAAAATAAATAAAAAAATAAATATCAATAAAAGGTGATGGTATTAAACCTATCTTTTTCTTTTTAAAAAAATAAGAGAAAGAGAGAAAGAAGAAAAGAGAAAGAAAAAGAAAAAGAAAAAGAAAAAGAAAAAGATAATATGATTCGAAAGGTCAGCCACTGACCGTCCTCGTACACGTTGGAGAAGTTATTTACATTTTTCATTTCTTCTATCCTTGTTTTTATCCCCTTTTCTTTTACCATTCCTTCATCTTTATTTTCTCTACTCTTTTTCCTCCCCCACCCTCTCAGACCTTTCTAGTTTACCATTCGTGGTCGAACTTTTGGTCCCGAGATAAGTCAAACGACGACGCACCTTTTTCCTTTCACGCATTCCTCTACAAATGGGATGCTCGCATTGCTATATATAGGTGCTTTCAATATATTATATATATATATATACCTATCTACTTGCGAAGGTCACTAAGATGTAGTGGAGAAATTTGAAGGTCACAGTTAAACCTCCACTTTAACTACACCGAATGCAATTTATCGATTATGTACATTTCTTTTTCATTTTCTTTTTCTTCTACTTTTTCTTCTTCGTTAAAGGTAATTTTCTTTCTTTTTTTACTTTTACTTTTTATTTTTTTTTTATTTTATTTGATCAGTATAATAATTAGTTGATCCTAATTGTAACGAGAATTCATTATTTTTATTAATAGATTTTAAAATGGAAAATCAAATTAATTATATTATGAATAAAATTAAATTTTATTAAATAGATAATAATTATTTTGATTAATAAAATGAATATAATTTAATGTTTTATAATATGATTTTGATTTGTGATTTAAAGAATTTGTTTTAGATAAATTTGGATTAAATTTAATAAATAATATAATAATTTTTATAATATCTATAATATTTATAATATAATATGTTTAATATATAATATATTATAATATAATTAATATATAAAATAATATTATAATATATATTAATATATATATTTATATATAATATAAATATTAATTTTTAATTAAATAATAAA